CCGCCTCTCGCGCGAGATTATACGAGACCGCCGCTCGCGCGAGACCTCCGCCCGCCCGGGACCTCCGCACCTCTCGCGAGAGCTGAGAGGGAGGGAGGGAGGAGGGGCAGGAAATGGCGGCCCAGGGGGCGGGGGCCGATCCGCCGGGGTGGCCGAGCACAGAGCGCAAAGGCCGCGGGCAATTAAACAGCTTCCCCTCCTGCCTTTACACCGATTCCTCAGAAGGAAACACGCCTTTAAGACTCATCTAACTTTGAAGTTGGCCCTTTTCTGAGCAGGGCCCCCATTGTGTGACCTCCCAGGCTTCTCACATTGTAGGTTTTTTCCTAAGAGTCCAGCCTTTGCCGCACAGGAAATGGGGTCTTCTCTACAGAGTTTATTTGTCTCCATAGCCAGGCCGCCAAAACAGAAGAGATGCTCTCTGGAGCCTTTTTTTTTTTTTTTTTTTTTTTTTTGGCACTTACCTTGAATGTGGTAATTGAATGGGGTTGGTTTGCTTTTCTTCTTAAAAAGGGCAGAACTTTCTAAATATAGATATCCAAGAGCAGTTAAGTAAAGCTTTGTGGTTAAGATACTTGGCAATTGGAGATGATGCCCCTCTCCCTGCCATCTCAAATATAGCTCTGTTGCAGACAAGATAGATCTTCTCAAAATTAAGATATTACTGGCAACTAGCTGCCATTTAATAATCAACAACTTAAACCTTTGTGAAGCGCTGATAATGGATTCTAACCAGTATAACTATTAATTAAATACTGCACATGAACCACTACAATTAAAAGATGGCACCTTTTATAATTATTCTCAATGTTCTTATACAATATTGAAGAATCCCACTCACAGGAAACAGGTTGTCACTGAAACCAGTATAAGACACTTCTTCCTCTTCTCTTACTTTCATTCTGTTTCTTCAGCATCCAGAAAACACACAAAAAAAGCAACACATTTTTCTCCGCAGTTGTCTACTCTAATTCCATACATCTTTCTGAAGAACCTAGGCAGAAGCAGAGGTACCAAGGTTAGCAGAATGAACCAGGACACCTACCAAGTAGGTGTGTTATGGCTTGTCTTGCTGCCCTCACCATCTCTCACTTCTTAAATACTCAACACTGGAGTTGAGCAGAGGGCTGCTCTGGACTCACCTGTCGATCAAGCGTGCCGTAAGGAACTGGAGCCAACCTCTCTTAGGATCTAAGTTCAGAAGATGACAAAGCATTTATGTCTTCTAACAGTACATCAGTATTTCAAGAAAAAAAAAAAGTACTAGGTGCTGTACCTCTGGGCAGATCATTTTTTTTTGTTCCCCTCTGTAAGAGGGAAACTCAAGAGGCTTGGCTAGCCTTTGTTATTTTCTGTAATGGGGAATTTTTTAGGTCTAATAATTATGAATATACTGCATATATAAAAAAGGATTCTTATAGAATTTATGTGCTCATATTTTAGGAAGAAATTATCAGCATTTTACTCAGCATCCAAACCAGAAAAAAAAATATTCTTACTATATGTAAAAAAACAATCTTCCCTCTTATCTTAACTGCAATAAAGCCTACTAAAGGGTACTTGTATATACTATTCAGAATTTTTACAAAGCTGTTCATTTTTAATCCCCACTCTCTCTCAGATATCTGCATACAACTGTTTTATCATTTCCGGATTAGCAAATCTTATTGGCAAGGTGAATCTCCAGAAATAAATAGCACAGCAAAAGAAAAAGACAGCAAAAAGTATTGCTGCACCTCGTGTCTCTGGAGAGCGTGCTGGATCGCCTCCTTTCTGTGCCAGATTCACTTAGATTAACATTATACATGAAAGCCTCTGACTTAGGAAATGTATTTAGACTGTGCTATATAACTCTTTACAGTTGCTGCCTACAACTGGCAGCAATTAAGGAATAATCAAACCTATGTTTCATCTAGTTACATAGAGTAACATTAGTCATCAATTCAGCTGTAATGTAGGCAAAATGAATTGAGGTCTGAATGTTTCGTTAAAGAGTGTGCATTCCTGGTCATACATGCATACATATGTAATGATACAGGCAATGCAAAAAAACAAGAGGAGGAGATTGGAGGACTGGAAATTAGGAGGATAGAAATCCACAGACAAACATTCCACCTTTTTTTTTAATTGCATACTCAGCATATTTTAAACTAAAATTACTGAGACACCATGGAGCCCTGCTTTTTTTTTTTTTTTTTTACAATTGCTTGGTGGTAGAATCACGCCTTAAATCATTCTGTAAAAACATGACTTAGTTAGCACTTCATTATATGAGGTTTCTGCTGGGCAGCATTTGGCAGAAAAATCTGACTTTTCTCATACATTTTATCCCTCACCTCCTTCAAATTAAGAAAAGAAAATGTGATTTTAAAAGCTTTTGTCTAGAAGGTGTGTGACTGACTCTCTATTTATCTAATCATCAGTTATGCTGAGCAGATACATTTAAAATAGAAAAGGTCACATGCCCCTGTTAAAGATTTTTGTGATTCTTTTTTCCTTGAAACAATTGAAATATTTCAATGTACACAATTATTTAAAGAGTAACGTGATTCATCCCACAGAATTCATGGTTTGCAGCATAAGCTGACTATGTAGCTAATTAAATTAATTTAACAAGCAGGGAGCAAGGCTATTCACTCACACAAGGGTTTCAGCAGGGTGATCTTCAGCCTGGTAGTGGTCTGGAGGGTCAGAGTAACAGGCACGTAGGTGGTCCTGGGACCACATTATTCCTATTATAGAGTTTGTGTAAAGATGATGGGAACCTCTAAAAAATTTGAGGGTAGAAAATGGTGCATGAAATCTGGCAGTCATAATTTTAATGGAAAAATCATTTTCCAAAGGCAGAAGTCGTATTACTGCAATAACACTATATCCAGGCCCCAACAGCATCCAAAGTCTTTTAAGCAATGGGATTCAAGCCCCTAAAAACATGTGGATACTTATGGTTACTTCCTAGAGCCTAATCCTAAACCCTTTATTTAGTTTTTGCTCATTTCCTGAAGATTTTCATCCTCAATAGTTACAATTTCAGACAGTGAGATTATATGTAACTAAATAATAACATTCTCATAACACTTAAATCTATTTTAAATTTGAATCCTTTTAAGAAAAGAATAAATACCATTGTCCTGGTACTGGAAGCTACTGGAAGCATATTCAGAAAAATAAAGCTTATGACATGGTCATTAAAATCTGTCTTGCTGCTCTTCCAGAAAAAGTAAACTTTGTATTCAGAAAGAACCTCTGAAAGTCATCTGTTCTCCTCAGCGTGGGTCTAGTTTCAAAGTTAGATCAGATTACTCATTGTCTTCTTTAATCTCCAAGGCCATTAATCTCCAAGGCCGGGGATCCCACAACATTTCTGGGCAGCATGTTCCATTGCTTAACCACCCAGCTCCATCCCTGCATGTCCACTTCTAGGCCCACTGGGAAGCCCATCCCCAGTGGCAAACCTCCCAACCCCCTACACCCTTCTTGCATTTGAACTCAGCAGTTTCCCGTTCAGCCTGCCTGGCCTCATGTCATGTCTGCCCATTTTCCTCCCATTCAGAATGGTGGTTTGAGGAGGTTGTCTGCTCGGCTCTCTCGGCCCCTTTGCCCTCCAAAGCACGCTCCATGAGATTGGGTCTTGTGCCTCCCTGGACAGACTGAAGTCCGGAGTTCTCAGTCTACTACTGCCCCTATTTTCTACTCTTTACTGCTACAAACACTCTTCAATTCTGTGAAAAAGTATTTATTTCAAGCGAGAACGCCAGTGTAGTAGCTCTCAAAATGCATAATCATGCGATTTTTTTTATCTTACCAACACTGCATTAGCATTCATAATAGGTTTCTCTATGACTTTGTAGTCCCCAGAATTTCGAGCTGCCCAATGATATTTCATGCAGCTGCTTTCAGACAGTAAGGGTAGCATAAGCTTGCTCCTTATTTTTCAAAGTGCCAGGCTTCTCCAGGAAAAGAAAGAGATGATGAGAAAATACCCATTTTCTGTCTGTGACCATGCGAGAGATACAACTGGAAAAGAGGAGGGAGTGGACAAATAAGATCCAGGAACAAATGTTCTACTGCTTTTGTGCTTTAGACAAGATCGTAGGTGTTTATTTGGTTTTGGATGAGTATGTTTAAGCTGCCCTTGAATTCCCCATATCCTGGGATCAGCCAGGGGACGTGCTGGCCACTTACTGAATTGTAATCATCTCCAACATGATCTTTGCAAGCTTTCTTCATAGCATTTCATTAAAAGTAGAGCAAGTATTTTTATTATCTCCCAAATGGAACCCCAAAGTTGTCTTCTGCCTTTCTATCATGATTTGATGTGTTGTGACATGCTCCCAGCTATGTGCTCTTTTTTAATTCTCTCTGTCTCCACGCATGATCTGGAATTTTCCTTCATTTTCTTCTTATTGTGGGCTTGTGTGTTGCCTTTCTCCCCAGGTATTTGTGGAGAGGAAAGTTTCTACTGGAAAGAGGTTTCACATAAAATGTAAAGTGGTTTGGGTTTCAAACCCAGTGGTCAGTACTCCTCAAAATATAAGGATGCTTTCCATAACTATTGAAGGGGCATTACAAAAAATTCTCCATATGAATAAATGTGCCCCTCTTGAGATTTCAGGACATACAAAATTCTTTAAATAAAAGGAGAATTGGGCAACACATCACTATTGAAACAAAATATCAAAATGCTAAAATTGGCAGCAGTTATTAATTTTATCAAATATTACTTATTTGAGTTTAATCTAAGTGACAAAACTTTGAAAACATATTTGGTATTTGAGCTACTTACATAAACTGTGAGCCTTCCTATTGTGGTTCCCAGCTATAACACAGTTACTTGTATTCACTCCTTTGGCAGTTCTTCAAAGAATGAGCTTCAGAAAGTTCTCCAATTACTGGTAGAATCTGACGGCATTGAAAATTTGTGCCCAAATCATATCAGAAACTGACACAACTTAACTGACTGTCTTTTGCAGATCTACATTCACTTACAGCAGAACTAAGCTCTTGTCCCTGAGATAAAAGCAAAATGTCAAGGAGGAAAGATCAGAGATAAGCTTCAGAAATTTCTGATGAGGAGAATCAATGCTATTACAGCTCTCCATATTAAACTTGAACTCAGAAATGTTTTTACCTACCCAGTCAGCTTTCCATGGAGATCTGCTAGCTTCTTGAAGGAATAAAAAAGACTTGAGAGGCAGAGGTTGAAGGTGGAATAGCAACATGTCAAAACCTTTTTTTCACATCATAAATACAACTTCTTAGGAGGAAACCACCTCATGACTTGGAGCACTTTAGGACAAACATTAATAATAACTAACTCTAATTGGTCATTATTGCTTGCACAGAAAATATCAGATTTCATTTTCACCAGGAGGAAATGAAAATGTCATGTACTGTAAAATGACAAGCATGGAATTTACAGTAGTGATGTGTATTTGTAATTACCTTTATATGTGTAAATGCACACAAAGCAGAACACCAGGGAGGCTGTTTTACAACAGATTTAATCAAGTGAACATCTATGTCTCCTCATAAACTTACTTAACCAACTTTGAAAAAAGAATGGAGTTGATTAGACAGGTTAATGGGGTGATGTCTTTATAAATGACAGATGGCCATGTTAGAACAGAAAGTTGTTCACTCTCCATTTTTTATTTTATTTTACTTATGAGAGTATTTTACTGTTCTTTTACTTAAGAAAGCACTGCGCATACATTTTTGATTAGCAAAGTTTACTAAAAAAACCCAAAACAAACAAAAAACCCCAATTTCAAATGAAACTGAACTTTTAACTGGCTGGATGTTGCAATTATACTTAAGTGGCAATAAGCAAAACCAAAATACAAAATGAATATTTTTGAATTCCAGCTCCTTATAAACATCATGACCTCGCTATATTGGGTCGTAAATGGCACAAAGTGCTTACAGATTTGCAAGCTTGTAAGAACATAACAAAGAAATGGAAACATGAAGAAGAAAGCTAGTTTTTTATCATAAAGGGAATCCATTAGCGGTGAATTTGACAGAGTAACTACAATAATTAAAAATCAAAAAAGGCAAGAGTCTTAATTAGGAATAATAAAAATCGTTATTGTAGTGCAACATTAACTATACTTGAAAAAAACAACCCATCTTGAGTGTAATGATTTTACCTCAGAATTACCTGAGTGTAGAATCTGAAGTAGCCTAGATCTTACCTGGGATATATGGGGTATCCTAAGTGGATCACACGCACAGCGTGAACTGAAGGAGGAGTCAGTGAGTGTCTAAGTAGACCTCTGGGGAACTGGCCAACCTGAGGAGAAAGAAGTTTAATAGCTGAAGCACCTCGATAACTCGTGGAAGCCACCATGGCAGTAGCAGCTCTTGCCTCACTGCTGGATGGCATGCCACTTTACAGTGGTCTGTTTGCCATGTGTCACAATTTGTGAAGCTCTGAGCCAAAGATTTTCAGTGCCCACTAAACCTTCCCCAAATCCATAGTTTCCATAGTGGTTGCTTGATCCTCTTTATTAGAAATGGTTTGGCTTATCTCTTAAATAGGAAGTAGATGAAAGAGCTACAGAGATGCATTATTTTCACTTTTACTAATAACATTATAATCTACAGTCTGGGGTGATAATTTGACAACATATTTAAGTCACTATGCAACTCAATCAACTTGTCCCACAGTTCACCCTTTAATAATATAAAGAAAACAAATGTTACCCTTTGTATTCATCTAGGTAATTACCAGAACTGCCTTTGTGTTCAGTGTTGGCATTTGCAACATACTAATTGCCATAACATCAGTAGAATTACTTATCAGCATGTTGCCATCTAGTGAACTGTTACCAAGCCAAAATGGCCATAATGCCCTGGAGATTGTGTAAATTACCTTTGCTCAAATAATTTCTTAAGTCTAGATGAAATTTTATGACAAAGTAGTACCACAGCCAACCTCAAATACAACTATTCAGCCCTGCCTTGCTGCCAAATACTTGGAAATCTTTGTCAGTACATCTGTGTTCTTGGCCTGTGCAGTAAGTGACTGTTTTTTTGGTACCCTGCACCTAATCATAGTCCATCCTTCTTTCTTCACAAGAGGAAGAGCTGTATCTTTGACATGTTCCTACCTTTTGACTTCAGGACCACCTGTGGCTCATTCCAGGCACTAAGAGAGTCTCATCTTTTTAGAGACTTTTCAGTTAATGGATCTCACATTTTATCCAGAGCTTGCATTTTCCTCAGAGTTAGCTATACACTCACAGCATTTTGAGTGAGGGAGAAAGTTATAGGGTTTGTTTGTTTGTTTCAGTTAGTGCTGGTTGGAATCATCAGATAAATGGTAAATCTCCAAATTCACAAATGGAGTGGTGATGTGTGAATATATATATATATGTGTGTGTGTGTGTGAATAGAGAATGGATTATGCAAAAGGTTTTAATCTGTAGAAGAAACAGCAACTTCCAGAGTATCTGATGCTTAACAATCAGCAACTATCTTCCAAGCCAGGCTTGGCTGCCTTGCAAAGTGCCTTGCTCTTATCTTTCAACGCATGTTTTCATGATCTGAGTGTGTTGATAAATAAAATACCACAACTAATCTATTCAGAAAATCCCCAATCACCTCAGTTTATTGTGTTTTCCAAGTAAATATATAAAATAATGTTCCTGAGTAGATGCAAGCACAAGGCTATCATAATACTCAAATGAAAACCACTGCATTTTGGAAGACCTTGGTAAGTGCTGCTGTCTCTTAAACTTTTTGGTTTTCACTGACTGATGATCATCTAGCTTATTATAATGACTAACTGCTCCTCATGATTCTTTGCTGGTCTGTATGGACTGTCTCACTTTGCACTTTGCCAGTGATGCCTCTTTCTATTAACACAGCCTCTTAGTCCACATGCCTCTTATTTTCTTCCTGTTCTCACCTGTTTTTTTTTTCTTCCACCTTCCCATTTTGATACAGTCTCTCTTCTTCCTTCCAGTGCCATATTTCCTGCTTATCTTCTAACGTGGCATTATTAAGTTTTCTCCACACCAACAGAACCTCCTCTCTCTGAATCCCATGCAAATGCCTCTTCAGAGCAAGCTATATTGAAAAGAAAGTGATAAGAAATATGTATGACAGAGTAAAATACATTAAAAAGTTCAAAGAGGCCTAAATTAACACAATGTCCAAAAAATGTATAAAAGATGTTTAAGATTAACATAATATGAATTATTAGAGAAACTCATCCTTTTCTTCTTATTTATTTTTATACTAACTAATTTCGATGCTGTCTCTGGGAAACAGTGACTTACTCAAATCCCCAGGCTTTTCTGTTCTCTTCTAATGCTTTTTACTTGTGGCTATCCAGAGAAGTACTAAAAGCCAGATGGAGATTATATAGCTTATGTGTTCATTACAGGAGCAACTCTAATCTTCATACTTGCAACCATACTGCAGAGCTGAATGCCTGCAGCATCACAACACAACAATAGTGAGTTATTTCCATAATAATCATGATATTTCAAGTTTAATTTTGTCACTTGGCCCCTCTTACGGCCTACCACTGGCTGTAACTGCATTTACCCCATACATCTTTATCCAGCTCCTGTGAAATATGATTTTTAGGGGATTTCAAAGAGGATCTAACTTTGAGATCATGCTAGAGCTTTGTGCAGGAACCCACTTGTAATCCCTCAAAACTCTAGTAAGTAGACAGCTATTTCTAGGTTTTCCCTTCTTTTGGACTTTGTCTTCTGTTCTTGCCTTTCAAACAGCAAACAAGGGTTAGCTGGACAATTTTAACAGTATCTAAGAAGTCACATTGTACAACACAAGGCAGTGCAATGAAATGGGAGAGCAGCAGCCTGACTGGGAACATCTGCTTCCAGAAGTTAATAGCACAGTTCCCATCTAGCACAGAAGATAGCAGAGCACATTCCCAAGGCTATATCCCTTCAGCAGACTCTCCAAGCATATAGTTGTATGTTCTGATGAATGTTATTTAAATTCAGGATTCAGTGAATAGATCCTTAGTGAAGAAACACATTTTGTAGTATTTTTTCTATGCTAATGTCTTATGACTCTATTTTGCCCAAAGTAAGAAAACAGAGCTTACTACCAAAGTAGAAAACAAAACATCTCTTATAATGCTGCTGAAATCTGGATTCTTAGGAATACTTTCCCAAAGCACAAACATCTTTAGTACAAATGCAAGAGTGGAAAATGCTAACAAACTAGAGGTGCATGACTCAAAAGGAAAAGGAATGATCATTACAAATAATGTAAGGCACAGTTAGTTATTTCATAAGTCTATTCACAATTTACTTTGGTAAAAGTTTGTATTTTCTTTCCTTTAACATAAATGAGGTAACTCCTGACATACCTTAGATCTTGCAAGGAATCACACTGACATTTTGAGGATCTTCTCTGAGATAAAGGTACAGGAGAAATGGGCTAAATCAGCTTCTTTAGCTCACTATCAGCATAATTTTCTAAGAGAATGAAAATGCATTTTCTGATGCCAAGATGAGCTCATTAAGTATTCACTTATTGATTTAGTGCTGTTTAAACACAGATAGCTGCAATCCATCACTTGTGAACACATACGATGCAGAAAAGTGAGGATAAATGCCAAATGCTCTTCTAAACAGAAATGAGTAAAATATACCACATAGTATGATTTTATAATATAAAAAGTAAATATAAAACTAAGCAAAATTAATATAATTAAAATACACTACCTCCTCTTTAAGCAAAGCTCACCTTTATTTCAGTTTTATGATATGCTCTCTTCAAGTATTACGTTCTCTTTAAAGGGAGGAGCTCTCATACTTGAGGTCAACAGTATTCATAAGCAGCTTTTTTATTTGGATTTTAATTTCTAGTCGAGGATTTTAAAAATGGCTCTTACCGCTTAAGATCAGGAAACATTTTTTTCATAAATGATATATTATTTCTTTTCCCTCTTTTTTTTTTTCTTTTAAAGGCAGAGAGAGTATTCTATAGCTAGAATGGACTTAATCGCATGCTTCCCCTGACATTTTTGGAGAAATTCAGGCCTCTAAAAGCCCCCAAGAAAATGGAACACATCCATTTAACTGGATGGCATAAGCAGAAGGAACCTATGAACTGCAGAATGTGATGAACACTTGCTTTCTCATCTTACATGAAGTAAAGGTACTTTTGTTAAAATCTTATTGATTTCCATTTTCACAGTTCGTTTCCAAATCACTGCCTAAATTAATTTTAATCCATGCTTTGTGGTTTTCTTTTGAGGTGGTAAGGTTTAGAGTAAACTTTGTATCATTTCGTATTTCTGTAACTCTATACTTCCAACCAGATGATAAAAGGGAGAACCAGAGTTAGACTTATAACCAGGCCTGAGAAGGCGAGGAGAAAAGATTAAGCTGGCATCTGCTCCTGGTTCTCAGGCGCACTTCAAATATTTTCTACCTGAAGTAGCCTATGGTGGTGGATTTGGGGTAATCGGCATGATTGCTTGTCCATAAAGCATGCTCAAATGCAAGAGATCCCCTGGAGAATTTAACGTTGGTTTCACCTGCCTGAAAAGTCAAACTAAAACAATTGTCTTGGAACCCCAAACTGGCAGCCTGCTGAATATTCACTGCATTGACTGATGCACATACTGCCTTTAGCAATCAAGGCCAGTCAAGAACTATTTATCTCTTGCTAACAAAATATATGAAAATCTGACAGGATACAAGATGACACTGCTGTCCTCTCTAGTAAGCTAGATTTGCTGGTTACTGGAGTAGGCAGTTGAGATGAAAACACCTTAAATCCATTAAGTCAGATTTTAGCCATTCATTTTACTATTTGTTTCTCATGTGACATTAAAAAAAAAAAAAGAGAGAAAAGACAACAGAAAAAAAGATTAGCAACACATGTTGTACCCTAGTGTGCCAGATGGGCTCAGGAGAGAGATAACAGGAAAGACCATAAATAGAATTCATACTTCAAGTTACTAGGTACAGAAAATGTTCTGAATGCTATTTCATTTATGCTTGTGGATAGCAAATCTACAATAACTGCTGATGAGAGCTCAAAGATAAAAGCCAATAGTGGAGGCAGGGGATACTCAAAAGCAGGCAGATAAAACTGGCATATGAAAATACATATTTAGCCAGTTTAAAGGCTTGAATAAACATTCCAACATAGCTTTCTTACAATAGGGCAGAAATGCTTTAGGAAAACTACAGATGACTCACAGTGAGGCAGGGAGGCTCAAGCAATAGATGCAAAAAATCCAAACACACATATTTGAAAAGGCAACACCAGGGAATTCTAAGATTAAAATGTTAAGATTGTACAGTATGTATATGACCATACAATCTGACTGTAGCTTCACAGAGAGTAAAAGTGTCAGCGTTACGGTTCTAAGCCCTTCTGTAA